TAGATTAAACTTCAATAACTATTCTCCAAATAGAATAAGTGATTACAAGTAAATTAAGCTGATTACTTACTCTCCTCTTCAAACAAATTCCCCAGCACACTAGCATTAGAAAACCGATCTATCCTTCAAGGTTAAAATTTAGTCAATGTGATGTTAGAAGAAATATTTTGAGATAAAATACCTTGCGATATTAATAATTTGGCACGAGAAAAGTTTTGAGACAATGGCGACCTCACATTTTAGTAATCATCAATTGGAAACCACTTGAAAATAAGAATCCCTAAAGTGAGACACTCTTAGAAACTATTCTAACATAAACAAGAAGATTCAAACATGTATTACTACTAATTATGGTGGAAATTTACAAAAAAGTTAGCTAGTTTCTGAAATCAAAAGAAGTATAATGCAAGTAATATTTCCTGGTAGCCCTTGAGACTCCCTCTACAGGCAGCATAATGCAAACTGTGCTCCTCACTCATGCCACATTCACAGAATAAGCGTAGTCCAAATAATCATAATATCCTTTTCACAGTAAAAAGAAGATTGAAAGACCAACTAAGTATTAAAGCTAAGGCCAACATACAAATGACTAAATTAGTTCCTTATGGAGAATTGTCACTCTCGAAAGTTGAACTAGCCACTCTAAAAGTACAGCAAAACATATGCCAATATGCTCAATGTACTTGAAAATATTTCTATTATTGATCATAGAAGCTTCTCTTTTATAAGGTTATGTAAGGTCACTTTTGGATTTAACCTGCATCCATCAGTATCGCCGAAAGACACTTTTTGAAGTAAAATATAGTAACGATTATATAATGAAACAAAATTAGGGAAATTTTTTTATCTTGCATTAACACCATCTAAATTAGGTCCAAACCAGCTCAAAATTCAAAATTAGGAAAAAGATTACACTAAATCAGCATGACCTTTTCCTTCTAATTTGTGTCTGTTTACGCTAATTCTGGATAAATACAGAAGCCTCAAATAGCTGGGCCAGTTACTAAAACTATTCACCAAGTTGTGCAAAAAAATTGAAGAGTTCCTTACACGTATAAATAAAGTGATCACCTTATAGAATTTTACCAAGACACATGGAGCAAAAAAAAATCATATCATATAAATAAAGTGATCATGATTGCCATATACAATTTTAGCATCACATAGTTGAGGAACTGACCACTAAAAGATGATCTTTTAGAGTTCTGAATCTGAGCATATAGTTTCCAATTTACTATATAAACCTAGATATAACCAGAAACTGAAGCAATTAATGAAATGAATTTCCAGAGCAATGATCCTCAAAGCTTTGATTTAAACCCTAAATCTACATCAACAACTACAACGACATGCACGAGATGAAAGAACCGATTTAAACCCTAAATCTACATCAACAACTACAACGACATGCACGAGATGAAAGAACCTAAAAAATCACAGAGATAGAGTCACTTTCCAATACCTTACTGAACTTGAGATGGTGTTGCTTGCCGGCGAGATTGAGCTAACAATTGATGAAGACGACCATGCCGCCGGCGATGATGAGGTAGAATTGCTAACGGTGATGAGAATTTGCGATGGAGATTGAGAACTAATGTTTTGGGCGATGGCGAAGTGAGAACTAGGGTTTTTGACGATGGTTAATTTAGAGTGAGGGTTTTCAATTTTGGGAATTTCGAGAGCGGCGAGATGCGAGAGAGCAATTTATAACAGAAAAGTTAATTTATAAAAGACTCAACTCCATTGTCATCAAATAAAAGTCCAATAGTTACGCGTCAGCCCAAAACCTCCGGAACAATGATTGGGCCGAACATATTATTTTTTTCACAAACCGCTGCATTAGACCTGTTGTCACCGTTAGAACTGTTACAAAACCGCTCCCATAGGTACCTAAATGCAACGGTTAAGACCGTTACGCCGAAACCGTTGTGATATCTCAAAAACGTGGTAGTGGGCCTTCACCGCTAGCTCCTGGCATCGGCATAATATATAGCCAACTTTCCCGTCCCAATCAAATTGATATGACCCTAAATTTGGCGGACCCCACCAAAAATCAACTCCTGATCACACCTGAAACCTTCTTCCTGATGACACCCCAAACTCCGCTCCATCACCTTCCTCTTCGTCATATACCCTCGAAACCACTCCTTTTATGTTTCGTTTCTCTCTTCATTTTGATCTTAAATTTTTGACTGTTTGCTTTCTGAAAGTCACGCCTACTACGTTTCCAAATAAGAAGACATCTCGTTATCCAATCATGAAGATCCACCGATCACCACGGTCATCTTGCATATCTTTTCAAGATTGAGTTTCATGCTTTTGGCAGGTGTTTGCCAAAGAAATGCACTGGTGGCTTGCAGTTTTTGTGGTGGCTTTTGGTAGAAATTTGAGGCGATTAATTCTTCGGAAGAAATATGGTATATGCGGCTGATGAGGGTGCGATCGATCATTTGGAAGAGGAGGGGACATAAAGATTTGTGGTGGAGGAATTGTACGTACCGGC